GCATAATAACTAACATACATCGGGCTTGCCCCGGCATCGGGCTTACCCCGGAACACTTAACATATAACATATAACATAATCGCATATACTGCACCGGGCTTGCCCGACATCGGACTGAAGCCCGGAATACATAACATATAACACATATACATGCATGAATCACAAAGACATCAAGCATACTTAACTACTTCTCGGGACCGCCCCGGCATCGGACCGAGGTCCGGAAACATATAAACTGCATCGGGCTAACCCCGACATCGAGCTTACCCCGACATACTCTACAACTTAAACGGGCCGGCATTGTGGCCGTAGACCCGTTCCTACTGGAAGGAAACTCACCTCACACTGCTGAAGTCCCGCTGACAGAACCGTAGCTGCTCGATGACAAATTCCCGATCTGTCAATATCAAAATAACACCCAATTAATAATTGGGTTCTATCACATATCCATAATTCCATGCTTGGGGTAAAAGACTACTTTACCCTTAACTTACATTGACTCAGTCCCAAGGCCCAATCTAAAGGCCCAAGGTCTAACTATGGCTCAAAGCCCAACATATGGCCCAATTTTCCAAATTGGGTCCAAACCTCTACATGGACTTCCCTTAAGGCCCAATTGTTCAGTCCGGTCCAACATGTCTCATTCTAAGGGCCCAATATCATACAACCATCTAGGCCCAACTATGGCCCAGTTTTCCAAATTGGGCCCAAACCCTCCTATGGGCCTTACCCTAAAGCCCATTAAATTGTTCTAGTCCATTTGCTTGTTCTTGGATGGCCCAACACAAAGCCCAAGTGAAATTAGGGTTTCACATAAAATGATGATTAAGGTTAAGTGTTTCTCACTTAACCCATTAAGGGCTTAATTCATTAAGTCCTCTATTCTGCTAGATAAATGATATGGAATAATTTGGGCTTAATACACAATCCAATCCCAATGGCCCAAAGGTGGGTCCAAATAAGTCTAAGGCCCAATTACTCACAATTAGGGTTTTCTAAACCCTAATTAGGGTTTCCACCCAAACATGGCCCAATAGGCTCAAAATTAATCTTTAAGCTCATTAGGGTTTTGCTAGGTCCATTAAGGTTTTGCTAGTGGGGCACCACCCACTACCACCTCGGGTAGTGGTGGTCAATGACGGCTCACGGCGGCGGCCACCACCTTACGGTGGTGGTTTTGAGTTTCTTTTTATTATTCATCTTGCTAATTACAATTACAGTGCTTAATTCCAAAATAACCACACACACACACACTAACTAATCATAACACACGCACACAACCACCCTAGTGGTGGCAGGCGGTGGCTCGTGGCGGCAGCCACCATGGCTGGCGGCCATGGTGGGTTTTTCCTCCATTTTCCGGTCATCAAACAACATCTACAACACCCATGAAAATACCAATTTATACAAAAGATCCCAGCCACCCACCTAGCGGCGGTGGCGACATGGAAAAGCAGTCAACAACGCTAGCGGAAGCAATAGTGCTAACAGCGACGACCACCATGGACAGCCGCCATCGTGGTTCTTCTTGACTACTCACGACATCCGGCTACAGCAGCTTCTTCAAACGCTCAGAGTGGCGGCGGTGACGCAAGGAAGCGGGCAGTAGCGGCGTTTCCTGCGACAGCCACCATGGCCGGCAGCCATGGTGGTTTCCTCGGGTTTCTTCTGGCCGAACGACACATACACCCGCCAAGACAACCTCCTCGGGGTGGCGGATGACAATCAGAAGAGTGGAGGAAGGACCATACGACGACGGCAGCGACGGCTTGGAGGAGGCGGAACAGCAGCGCTACCACGGTGCCTACAACGGAGTTGGCGGTACAAGCGGTGGCGGCGAATGAGAGGGGTTCTCACGAGCAACCGACGGTAGCAACGCAAGCGGTTTCGATTTCCGGCGGTGGTCTTGGGTTTTAACGGCGACGGCTGGGGAGTTTATCGGAATGGAGGGTGGCGCCGGTGGGAGACATAAGGTGAAGGTGGCGGCTGCATAAATGGTTCGTAGGGTTAGGGTTTCACAAGGGTTTTATACCCGCTGCTATTCAAACACATTTCCATAATGACCATTATGGTCCCTCCTTCTCATTCTTCTTTCAAACTAAGTCCTTGATTTACCCTTTCTACCCTCACTCCTGAAATCCTTTACAATTTAAGTACAAATTTTACCAAACAGCCCTCGGTTCTCAAAATCCTTTCATAACAAGTCCAAGACTTACCAAACACCCCCTGCCTCCTAAAACCTTTACAAAACAGATCCCGAAACTTACACTTTTAACCCCCACTTCTAAATTTATAACTTTGAATCCCCAAAACTAACGCCTTGCTACATTATTATTGATTTTAGAGCTTCTATACATTTATTTATTTATTTTATAAATGGGGTGTTACATACAAAGTTTACAATCATTTGAAAACTTTCACCTTTTATATCAAATTCACTGTCATTGCTATATTTATTTTGAAAGATACGGTTGGTATATGTTAATAGATTCTACACTTGTGCAAATTTTTTGACAACTACTTTGTTCTCTTTATTGATCTTTTACATGTGATTTCCATGGGTTGTAACCTAGATAATCATATATTTCGTTTTATTTTTTTAAACATTTCAATATAATCAATAACACGAAGTCTCTTTATGTTACTTTATTATTTTTTTTTATTGTGTCGACTTTTTATAACGTTATATGTATTTTTTTTATATGTTCTTTCGTGGTTTACACTGAATATAATCCAGAAGTTTACTATAAATAAAAGACAAAATTACAAAAATGGTCCCTGTGGTTTGCCAAAAGTAACAAAGTTAGTCCCTATTAATTTTTTTTGATGCAAATGGCCCCTCTGGTTTGCAAAACTTGCACAGATGGCCCTTTTTACTAACGCCGTTAGAATTCAGCCGTTAGGGACTGAATTAACAAGGGTATTTTTGTCTTTTCAAGTATAAAGGGAATGGATTCGCAACTTTGGGTAAACCATAGGGACCAAGCAAGGGTATTTTTGTCTTTTCAAGTATAAAGGGACTGGATTCGCAACTTTCTGTACACCATAGGGACCATTTTTGTAATTTTGTCTTAAAATGATAAGAAATGAGGGGAGGAGGATTCGAACTTGGGACCTCCTTCCCCATCCTTACTCAGCCAAAGCTCTAACCAACTAGGCTAGAGCCAAATTTGTTATATAATTCCGAAAATTAATTAATATTATATAAAAGCGTAAATAATTAATAATAAAAAAATAAAAAAATTTAGAAAAAAAAATTAATAAAAAAAATATATTTTTAGCGTATTGTAAAAAAATATTTTTTACAAAAAATTTATTTGTTTTTTTACGTATTTGTTTTACATAAAATATTTTTTTAATGTATTTAAATAAATACGTTTTCGTATACTATGTTATTACATTGCTATGATCCTAAAATATATTTTTACGTTTTCATATAAAAATACGTTTTTTTTCTTTCACATAGAAAAAAAAGTTTTTTTACGTATAAAATATGTTTTTTATATATTTAAAAAATACATTTTTGTATAAAATATTTTTACGTAAAAACATTAAGAACGTGATAACATAACGTAAAAATATGTTTTAAGATTAAATCAAAACGTCTTATATTTTTTACGTAAAGCAAACTAAAGACGTTAACATAACGTAAAAATGCGTTTTTTTACGTAAAAATACATTTACGTAAAAATATATTTTTACGTAAAGCAAACTAAAGACGTTTTTTTACGTATGGGTGATTGGTCCCTCACCCATATAACGTTTTTTTAGTTAAAAACGTTAACGTGATAACATATTATATGAAAACGCATTTTTACGTTTTCTTTACGTAAAAAATATAAGTCGTTTTGATTTTATCTTAAAACATATTTTTACGTTATGTTATCACGTTTTTAATGTTTTTACTTAAAAACATTTTATACGAAAATGTATTTTTTAAATATATAAAAAACATATTTTATACATAAAAAAACTTTTTTTTCTATGTGAAAGAAAAAAAAACATATTTTTATATGAAAACGTAAAAATATGTTTTAGGATCATAGCAATGTAATAAAATAGTATTCGAAAACGTATTTTTTTAAATACATTAAAAAAATATTTTATGTAAAACAAATACGTAAAAAAACAAGTAAATTTTTTGTAAAAAATATTTTTTTTACAATACGTTAAAAATGTATATTTTTTTTATTAATTTTTTTAAAAATATTTTATTAATTTTTTTAAAAATATTTTATTAATTTTTTTATTATTAATTATTTACGCTTTTATATAACATTAATTAATTTTCAGAAATATATAATAAGTTTGCCTCTAGCCTAGTTGGTTAGAGCTTTGGCCGAATAAGGTGTGGGGAAGGAGGTCTCAAGTTGGAATTCTCCTCCCCTCATTTTCTATGGTATACCCAAAGTTGCGAATCCAGTCCCTTTATTTTAAGACAGAATTACAAAAATGGTCCCTATGATTTACCTAAAGTTGCGAATCCAGTCCCTCATTTTCTATATTCTTATTATTTTAAGACAAAATTATAAAAATGGTCCCTATGGTTTTCTATTGTTTACCCAAAGTTGCGAATCCAGTCCCTTTATTTTAAGACAGGATTACAAAAATGGTCCCTATGATTTACCTAAAGTTGCGAATCCAGTCCCTTATTTTCTATCATTCTTATTATTTTAAGACAAAATTATAAAAATGGTCCCTATGGTTTACTCAAAGTTGCGAATCCAGTCCCTTTATACTTGAAAAGACGATACTCTTGCTAATTCAGTCCCTAACGGCTGAATACTAACGACGTTAGTAAAAAGGGTCATCTGTGCAAGTTTTGCAAACCACAGGGGCCATTTTCATCAAAAAAGAATTAATAAGGACTAACTTTGTTACTTTTGGCAAACCACAGGGACCATTTTTGTAATTTTGTCTAAATAAAATGTTTTACCAATCGACGCACTGAGTTTCAAGTACCTACCGTTTCACCCCCTCTAATCCTCCCCTTTCTTATATTTTGTTGCTAACGTAACAGCCGAGTGCGTTCGTTAAAAACATTCCTCAAGACTCAAAGCCCTTGTCAAAGTTATCCTCTCTGCGCGTTATTCTCATCGGATCGTCTTAACAATCATCATTGTTCTTCGTTAAATCGCAATAGGTAACACCGAATCATCTAATTAAAGTTGTGCGTTCTGTTGAAATTTGTTGATATCTTAGGGTTTTGGCTTTCGCAATTTATCGTATCATACTCGTTCTATTTCAAACAAAAGGTATCAAAGTCTTCACCAATCTTCAAAGTCCACGAGTTGTTTGATTCTGTTTTGTGTTTTTTCATACGGTGTTCGATGATTTGATGCTGAATTATGGGGTTCGGTGAATATCGATCGTTGATCAGATGAGAGAGAAATTTGTTCTATATGTGGATTTTTGCATCAGTGAACTGCTTATGTTTTAGATTAGGGTTTGGGGAATTACAACTATGGTCGTGTTTGCGTCTTATTATTTGGGTTTTTGCTTGTTTGCTAGTTAGGGCATAATACCTGTCATCAAATTCCTAATGCCTGGATTTCTGTATACTGTTATTTAACTTGAACAACAACAACAATATCTAGTTCCCATAAGGTTGTAGGGTAAAGGGGAGGTTGGATGTAGACATTCTTCCTCTACAGATTAGCTGCTTCCGTGCAAGATCTCCGGCATGTGTAATTGTTTCCATACACAAGTGAGTCAACAAGATTATGCGATTGAAAATACTAAAACTAGATATAGTACTAATAGTTATAAATAAAATGAAATACATAAGTAGCTACATACACACAAAAATATATAAGCAACTCGTATCTGTATTACTCCACTACCTCCTATCTATGGCCATGTCCCCAGAATAAGAGAGAGCTTCATTTTTCCCTTCTTTAACTTGATGACTTGATGTCATGTCACTCTTTTTTAATCATCATAATGTATGTCACCTCATGCATCTGTGTATAATTATACATATATGTGCATCATTGAGCTGCTCTAGCCTTAGATTTACAATTTACTAAGTTTGTTTCTTTTCGAGTAAGCTTGTCATATTTTTCATTTGAATTCTATTCGCCTAAGGGTTACTCTATCTTGTTTGTTGATTATTGCTAAGGTCTCTAACAAGTGTCAAATTATCAGGTTCAGTGAATATTGATTAGTGATAGAAGAGTAAAAGAAAGATGTGGGCAGCTTCATGCCTTGCCTCCTGCTGTGCAGCATGTGCATGCAATGCATGCCAGACTGTTGTGTCAGGGATTAGCCGTAGGTCTGCTCGTATTGCATACTGTGGTCTCTTTGCTCTTTCTCTCATTGTTGCTTGGATTCTAAGAGAAGTTGCTGCACCTCTCATGGAGAAGATTCCATGTAAGACTAAGATCCTTTCCTTCCAATCTTTACTAAAAACATATATATAATGTTGTTTGTGCTATAATATATTTGATGCAGGGATTAATCATTTTCACCAAACACCAGATAGGGAATGGTTTGAGACTGATGCTGTTTTGAGAGTTAGTTTGGGGAACTTTTTGTTTTTCTCAATTCTTTCTCTTTTAATGGTTGGGGTGAAAAATCAGAAAGACCCACGAGACAGTTTACACCATGGTGGATGGATGATGAAAGTCATTTGCTGGTGTCTTTTGGTAATCTTTATGTTTTTCCTCCCAAATGAGATTGTTAGCTTTTATGGTAAGCCAAATTTTGCTTTCTCAATATATTCATTTCAACAAGTCAAACTTACATCATTTTGTGTTTGCTGCAGAGTCAACATCAAAATTTGGGTCAGGGTTATTTCTCCTTGTACAAGTTGTCCTCTTGTTGGACTTTGTTCATAGCTGGAATGACACATGGGTTGGATACGATGAACAGTTCTGGTTAGTTCTATTTGTTTTCACCTTTCACAAACAACTAAAATTTAATATTTATACAAAATTATTTAATTATAAACCATGTGATGGATGCAGGTATACAGCCTTGCTTGTGGTTTCACTCGTGTGTTATGTAGCAACATTCTCCTTCTCTGGAGTTCTCTTCTATTTGTTTACCCCATCTGGACAGGAATGTGGGCTCAATACATTCTTTATTGTCATGACCCTCATTCTTGTCTTTGTGTTTGCCATTATCACTCTGCATCCAACAGTAAGCCTCTAGCTAATGTGCTTTATTATTATAGATAGAAATTGTGTTGATTTGAATTATTAATGATTGATAGGTAAGTGGAAGCATTCTGCCAGCATCGGTTATATCTTTATACTGCACGTATCTTTGCTACAGTGGACTTGCAAGTGAACCAAGGGATTATGCGTGTAATGGTCTTCACAAGCATTCCAAAGCAGTGAGCACAGGGACACTTACTGTTGGGCTGCTCACAACTGTGCTCTCTGTGGTTTACTCTGCTGTGCGTGCTGGATCCTCTACAACTCTCCTTCCCCTCCTTCCTCCCCTCGTGCTGGTAATCTAATTCTAAACTAAAACTAAACTTTCTTGGTTTAAATCATTTTTTTTTAATATATTTTCTAACCATATAATATTTCATGTTCAGGTGGGGAGAAACCTTTGTTGCCATTAGACAAAAGAGATGAGCATGAAGAGAAAGAGAATGTTGCTAAGCCTGTTACGTATTCCTATTCCTTCTTCCACATCATCTTTTCTCTTGCCAGCATGTACTCAGCAATGCTACTCACTGGCTGGTCAACCTCGGTTGGGGAGAGCGGGCGGTTGGTGGATGTCGGGTGGCCGTCTGTGTGGGTCCGGATCATAACCTCATGGGCAACTGCCGGTTTGTTCATCTGGTCTATGGTTGCCCCTCACCTCTTCCCTGATAGGGACTTCTGAGGGCAATATCGTAATATTTCACACTAATACATTACCTTTACCTACCTACCTACCTACCTATTTGTATTTGATTTTTGTGTGCTGATGTTTGACCGAGTTGCTGTTGGGTTTGTTTTTCGTTTGTTTAATCATGTGAAATTGTGAATAAATCTTTTATTAAGTCTCAATGTGTGCTTTCTTTCATATGTATGATAATACTAATAGATAAGTTTGAATCGGGTACATGACACTACTTTTTTATATGCTCTTAATCTCTCCAAAATATCAGAGTTGACACGTACATGGTCTAAAAAGTGCATGCATGATTATTGCATGTGCTAATAAGATACTGGACAGGACTACTGATTACTTTAAAACTGCATGTGCAACCCACACATGATAAACGAATATCTACTCATTGTCATTCAGAAACATGTATTCATGATATTGATTCTCCATTAAAACATGTTAAATACTACAACAAAAATAAACTTCACTAGAAACTATATAGCTATAGCTACCTAGATTCAAAATTATTGTATGCATATGCTTGCTGTCTTTAACATGTCTTTCTGATTTATTTTTTTACGAAAGTTACACAAACCGAAAGAGTTGTATTATCAACATAGATGCGCAACGCTGTAACTTCCCATAAATACACATTTTATTCTTAAATGTATAGATTTTTTTTTTTTTTTTAAAATTTGGAACAACCAACCATATATATTATAAACAAAACTAGCAAGAAGCTAGAAAAAAAATTACAATAAGAGGGTGTTTGGCAAAACTTATTTAAATTAGCTTTTAACTTTTCAATTTATAGCGGTATCAAAACGGAGTTTTTAAAAAAATGTTTGGCTAAATTTATCCAGTGTCAAAAAGCAATAAGCTTATTAATTTATAACGTATTTTTGTGTTGATGTAGGTTTAGGTTAAGGAGTATATTTGTCAATTTCTTTGAATGGTGAAATAATGAGTTTTTGATAAGGGGTAAGTGACTTATCTAAAAAATGATTTATTGGAGGTTCCAAATAGCTATAAGCTGTTTTTTTTTTTTTTTTAAGTTTTTACCCAAACATTTTTTTTGACTTATACTGATGTGGAACCGGTAATAAGTCAAAAAAAAAATTTTTTTTAAGCTTTGCCAAACACCCTCTAAGTTCATAGGATTTTGAAGCCAATTAACCCACACTATTGAACATCTACTCTTCCTATTTGAATACAAGAAATAAAATTCTTTTATAAAATCACTAATCTTATTTATTCTAATCTTTTTTGTTCCAAACACCACGTCATTGTGAAATCTCCAAATAGACCAAGGAGTACAAACAATCACATCAACCACCCTTCTCTTCTTCGAATTCAACGAGTCGTTATCAATGAAGCTAAATAACTCATGAACATCATCAAAATCCGAACAAACAATCTCGAGCCAAGAGAAAATAACATTCAAAATGCTAGCTGCTACTTTACACCTAAGAAAAAGCTGTTCAAGTTGCTCCGCTTCAAATTGACAAATTGGACATACAATCGAAGTGACTTCCACGTTTTTGTTAGCTAAATTAATCGGAGTTGGAATTCTATCCAACATTACACTCCATGTCATAATATTTACTTTCTAGGAACAAAACATTCCATCTAGTTTCCAATCCCAACGAAGGCGAAACCACATCATAAATCCACCTCCTAATGTCTCATACTATGAAAGACCCATCCGTACCCATATCCCATAACCATCTGCTTGATCAGTCAAAATAACATCTTTAATTGTAACATCCATAAGATTCGAGCCAATTTAAAACTTTTTAAATCATTTAAAACCACTCAATTATTACAATTTGTTTTCAAAATAGTTTAAACATCAGAGTTCCCAAAAATCATAATCATCAATCGAGGAAGTGTACGGTCACGCCTTCGCCTTCCCGCGGTCATCCACTGAACCTGAAACAATAAACTGAAACTGTAAGCCCGAAAGCTTAGTGAGTTACCCCCAAAATACCCATACACACAACAATACACATACAATAACAAACAGCATACTATGAGTCCAATCATCCGTCGGGATGGAATACCCCAGACCCTCAACCATCGGGTTGAAATGCCAACATACCGATACACTTCACGTATCACATATACAAATAACAACATGTACTGGGTCCACAGCTTTACATACTGGATTACTCCTGGGCCCACAGTGTGAGTCTGGATTGCCTTCCGGGCCCACAGCTCACATCTGGATTGCCACTGAGCCCACAATACGAGTCTCCCTTAGCTTGTATCTGGAATGCTCACGAGCCCACAGTACGAGTCTCCTTCAGCCCGTATCTGGAATGCTCACGGGTTTGTTGGTTACCGCACGGAGCAGTATCACCTCAACCCACCCACATAATATGTCAACATATAACACAACTCATGCGTATACAGATAATCACATAACAACACAGGTAGACCTACAGATCTACCTAACTGGCATAGCAACTAGCATGCAAACAGTCAGACCAACTATAGGTCACTAAGCATACCACATCCGATCTACCAGGATACCGATCTAACAGATCATACTAACATATAACCATCCCATCTACCCGGATACCGATCTAACATATCATACTAGCATATAATCATCCTATCTACCAGGATACCGAGCTAACATATCACAACAGTAATAATTCCAATAACAAATCAAAGGGTCGGCCTTGGTGCCTTAGACCCTTGAGTACAGTGAGGATAACTCACCTGGCAATGCCGATCTGAACTGAAGAATCGAACTCCCGAATCGCTATCTCGTCGGAAATCCCGAACTATCACATAATAAATACCAAGTCATTACACAACATAATAATCTTGACTAAGGATCCCCGCAATCCATCATGTCCATTCTCTTTACTAGGCCAAGGCCCAATGCCAAGTCCCATAACCTTGAAAGTCCTTATGCAAAACCCATTATTGGCCTGATTTACCAAATTGGGCCCCACTCCCTAATTGGGCCTAATTCCAAGATCCCCTTAACAAAACTTGGCCCAAAACATAATATCTATAAAGTCCAAAAATGCCCAAATCCAATTAATCCATAAACAACCCAAAGCCCGAAGCCCAATTACCAAAGGCCCAACAGAGGACGTACGCTGGGCGTACTCGTCCTGATGTTGACCACCATCGGGTGGTTGACCCAGTACGTTGGGCGTACTAGATTTACGCTGGGCATACGCGGGGTTTCACCAAAACCCTAATAAGTGCTTAATGGCTTAAGCACTTAAGCCCAAACTCCAGATCCATCGACTAAATGTGCCATAGGACTATAAAGTCTCGAACTTTATCACTTTGGACGTCCATAAATTTCTTAACACATGGTATTAATCCATTAAGACCTTCCTACTTCATGCATGAGACAAATCTAGCTATTGGGACACCATTTTTATCACTTAGGACCTCTTCTAAGGTCTGAAAGGACAACTCATTTCATCCAAATCATAACATGCACCATTTTGGGACTTTTGGGACAAGAATGCTTCCATAAAGCTAAAGGGACTAGATCTAATCTCATACAAGTATAAAGTTCCAAGATTTTTACCTTCTGGAGCTTTAGGGCACAAACCAACTTCATATCTACAAGCTTGATCTTCTTCTCCAACTCCTTGATGCAACACCTTCTTCTTAAAACACTCAAGAAACACTCAAAAATCTCAAACACTCATGGAAATGGCTAGGGTTTGGGGAAACGACTATAAGCAGTGGAGGCTGGGGTAAGGGAGGGTTGTGTGCTCATAATGTTGCTTATATAGTCCCCCAAACCCTAAATATTAGGGTTTCCTTCTGCCATGATGTTGTTGGATATAGTGTCTAAGTCCATAACTTTATTTGGTATGTACTTGACCCGACCCGGCATGGTCCATTTGGGTTGCATGACATTGCAATACTTGGATAGACTAAATGAGAGAATAAGGCACTTATGATTATTAATATATTATAAGTTCTAATATATTAATAATAGTATTATTTAATTAGTATTGATCAAGTATTAATCTAGTATTAATTTGGTGATCAAAGTGAGACTAATTAAATATATAGGGTTGATTATGACAATCATCAATTCTTTTATGGTGGATTAATGATCCATGGTTTATGGGTTATGGATGTAACCATTTGGAGCTCCATGGATAGTCCATGGGAGTTACAAACCCATGGGTCATGAGAAATCAAGAGTCATGACAATTAAGGGCATTCATGTGTAAACCCTAATTGTGACAACACTATAAAAGAAACCCTATGGCTAGCAAAATGGTGACCTAGTGACCTAGTGTTACTAGAGAGGGCATAACCGATTTTGAGTGCTAGAAGTATTCTCTCAAGTTATTCCAAGTCTTGTGGTGTTGTGTGAAGCATTTGAGGCACAACATTTGGGGTGCTAGGCTCACAAAGTCTTGAAGGAATCCAAGCAACAACAAGGTATGTATTTCTACTAGTTTTTATGTTCTATGTAAATCCCCATGCCATGCTAGTTAGGAAATAACCTTGAAAAGAAATTTGCATGTATATAGAGAAAACATAGATTCAAGGTTATTAGGGTTGCATGTACACTTAGGAAGTGTTAGAATGCTCAAAAACCCATCAGTGGTATCAGAGCCTAGGATTGTTTTCTGTATACTTGATGCAAAACTGCTTAAAAATCGAAAATTCTGCATTCTGACGACTGGACTCGCCGAGTCCATGGGGAGGACTCGCCGAGTCCATGAACAAATTCATCCTACTCGACGAGTAGAATAATGCACTCGGCGAGTAGGAGCGTGCTGGGCAGTTTTTTCGAGTTTTGTTGCTGGAAATGGATTAAGATCATTATCCCAATCTGTTTTGGACTTGTAAAATCTGTTTTTCAAAATGATAATGATTATGTTAACCCATTTTACATGACTTTTATCAATTTTCAAGTATTGTATATGTTTATATGATTTTCTTGAAATTGCTTGACATGAATTTGTGTTCTTATAAGTTTTTAGAAGATCATAGGAATTATATGTAACCTCCATGTGTGTTTAATTCATGATCTTAATGGCTATGATGGTGTCCATAACTTGTCCTCAAGTTATGGATAACCAAAAGTCACTTCTTTTAATTATGATTAAAGAACTAAAGAGGTTTCATAAAATGAAGAGTCTTCATTTTATGAACCATTAAAACTCATAAGTTACAAATTGAAGAGACTTGGAACAGTTTCAAATCTTGCCCTCAAGTTT